CACCGGCCCCCCACGCGAACCCCCGCGGAGAGGCACGGCAGCGCGCCGCCGCCACCCGGGTCCCGCGGGACAGAGCCGCGGCCCCGGGGAAGGCCCCGGCGAAAGCCTAGGCTCGCCTTCAGATATTTCACTTTTCAACGTGAACCAGTTAAACTGGTTTCGAAGCCCTGAACTAGTGCAAATCGAGCAGCATGGACTGAACCAGAATAGCTTCATCCACCACCGAGCCTGCACCAAAATACGGGCTAGTGGAACCGACTCTGCAGCCCCTGCGGGTGCCTCTGGCTGTGTCTCACGGTGCAATCTTCACATTCTATTTAAAATGCATCTGGGAAACCCACGGACAGCATCAGCGCTCGGCTGACTACCCAACCTACCACAACAGACCAGCTGGAGAACGGATAGTGCATATGTAGGAATGGCAGCATACGCTGCAGGCAAGAGCTGGGTGGTTACATACCACCCTACAGTAACATCTGACAGCTAGAAGCACACAAGTTACATAAAGAACCTCAATTTAAAATGTTCTTTCTCATCCAGAGCAATTAGGGGAATGGACAAAGTTGTTAGAAGACAGACAGGTCTCATTTGCCTGATGTGTAACTAAAAAGCAAGCATCGCACGTACCACAAACATATCATAGGTTGCTGCCTTGCTCACCTGCGTGCCTCCGCTGCAGTCTCAGAGCTGTGGCGGTGGCCGGCCGTGGCCAGACTGCCCATCTGACCGCCACATTTCTGGTCTGTCCCCTGGCTCTCTCACTCCCGGGGTGTCAGGTGGAGGAGCAGCAGCCGAGTTCAGCTCACACCGAGGTTACGTATGTCTTGATGAACTGAGCAGAATCACCACAAAGAGATCAAACCAAACAAATGGGTGTTGGAAGCCATACAAGTTTGTGTCAGATAACCCATACCTTAGTTCATACCATGTTAAAATCTTTATAGTGTTGCAAGAGAACAGCTAAATGTTGAAGTTTGATTCCCCTTATTTTTATTTAAGAACATTTTTGTCCTGTTTTGTGCACTCTCTACATTCATCCTAAAATCATATTAAATACTTTCGTGGGTTGTTTTTTGATGTCTCAATGCTCACTATGACTCTCACTGAAAAAGCTACATCACAGTCTCCAACATCTGTTATCCTACTGCCCCTCAGCTCCAAGGAATACTTTTTTCCTCCTGGCTGCTCTGCAGTGCATGTAAACAATAATAGCTCTGACAATTGATACGAGTTATCCCATAGTTAAGTTGGAACATCTTTTCTTTTTTAGTAGCATTATTAATAAAATAGTAAACCAGAAAAAATACTAAATAGATAATATGGCCTCTGAGAGCTGTCACTTTTACACATATTCTGTGGCCAATAATAGAGTATAAACTCACAGTCGAAATGATACAACAGACAGTTATTTAGAATATAGAGATCATATGCAGGGATTGTTCCAAACAAGAAGACAGTAATTAAGTATGAAGTGAGGAGGGTCAAGAAAAATAAATTTTTACCCACACGTGTCTTTCTCCAGATACTACTGTATGCTAAAAGACAAGCAAAACTTAAGTTATGCTTTCAGGATTCAAACTTTCCTATTACTTCAGTATAAGGATTTTTCAAACAGTCCCTGTATCAACAGTCATGCATCAGATTAATGATGTTTCTCATTATAAATAGACCCAAATAAAGATACTTGGATCTGCACCTCAAATTAGCTCCCTTCAAGTTAATTGCGTCTCCTTCCCTTAGAAACTCTAAGCAACAGCAACAACAAGATGTAAATAAAAAGCATAGTCAAAACGCAGAGTAAGTAATTAATGTGAGGGGAAGCAGAAGAGTTCGGAAGCAAAATGTAAGAGACCCAAAATATTTGGAGGAGAAAAACAGAACCGGACACAAGCCCAACCCTACAGAGATCAGGACCAAGATCTCAGAGTGCCAGAAAGTCACCGAACATGGATTTCACAAACCATTGTTAGAACAGCATCTTTCAGAACAAAGATCAATACATAAAATAGAAACTGCAATCTTATTTTGTAAGGCGTTTCCTTGCCATCAGGGGGAAAAAAAAAAAATCTTCAAGAAACTGCACAAAATTGTGGTTTTGGACTCTGAACTTTGCTCTGTAGGATACAAATTAAAGCTGGATAAAAAATAGGGGGTGGAAAACAGCAACAAGTTATCAATTTGAAATTGGGTGTAATAGAACAGTGACTCACAACAGCACGAAGAAAATTGGAAGGATGCAGAGAAAAAGATGTTTTGACTGCAAAATCGCCATGTATGTTCAAGGTAGGAGGTCGCCGATCACCAGAGGTGCACTAGGGAGCTGGGCACCAGCCCTAGGGTAGGCAGGAGCACTCACTGCTGCTGACGCACCGAAAGTTACTGCTGTGTTAAAGGAACAGATTAACGTCACCATTATTTATAACGCCTTCTTTTTTTTCCGGAATTTTATTTATTGCCCCCTGCCAGAGGTTCTTTGGAAGCTCATAATAAAAGTACTTGCTTTGAGAGGAAATGTAAAAAAACCCAAAAAGATCCCAACAAAAAAACCTCCACCCTACCCTGCAAGGCCGTAAGCAGCTCACTGCTTAGGACTCACATTTTCCTCCAAGCCCGGGCAGGGTGCTCCATCTCGACCATGACAAATGCAGTTTGTTCATCCACACTGGCTGAATTTCCTTTGGGACACACTTCATACATTCACAAAATAAACACAGTCGACTCATCCCAGCAACGTGAAGCACACTCGCATGCCTCCAGACACACCAGGGATCCTCTCGCACTTGCAAAACACCCAGCATAGGGTTACATTTTGGCAAGTCCTATCAATTAAAAGCTCATCTTGGGCGAGCCCTTTTAATTAACAGTTCACCTTTCGGGGACTCGGCACAAAACTCCGCCGGGCTATCAGAACTCCTTTACTGATAATGATTTTTTCCCCTTCAACAAAGCACGCTGGCAGCCTTTGAGAAGGGGGGAACCGCCGACAGGCCCGGGCGGCGGGCAGGACACGGACCGGGGGCACCGGGGGCTCCACGGGCACCAGCGGGCGCCGCTGACTATTTCATCCCGGGCTGACCCCGCCCGCGACC